TGTCCTCAACCCAACTCAACCCATCTCTATCTGTCCTCAACCCAACTCCAACCCAACTCGACCCATCCCTATCTGTCCTGAACTCAACTCCAACCCAACCCAAGTGTCCCTGATTGTCCTTAACCCAACTCCAACCCAACCCAAGTGTCCCCAATTGTCCTTAACCCAACTCCAACGTAACCCAAGTGTCCCCGATTGTCCTCAACCCAACTCCAACCCAACCCAAGTGTCCCCAATTGTCCTTAACCCAACTCCAACGTAACCCAAGTGTCCCCGATTGTCCTCAACCCAACTCAACCCATCCCTATCTCTCCTCAACCCATCCCTGTCTGTCCTCAACCCAACTCCAACCCAACGCAAGTCTCCCCGATTGTCCTTAACCCAACTCCAACCCAACCCAAGTGTCCCCGATTGTCCTCAACCCAACTCAACCCATCCCTGTCTGTCCTCAACCCAACTCCAACCCAACGCAAGTCTCCCCGATTGTCCTTAACCCAACTCCAACCCAACCCAAGTGTCCCCGATTGTCCTCAACCCAACTCAACCCATCCCTGTCTGTCCTCAACCCAACTCCAACCCAACGCAAGTCTCCCCGATTGTCCTTAACCCAACTCCAACCCAACCCAAGTGTCCCCGATTGTCCTCAACCCAACTGCAGCCCAACTCAACCCATCCCTATCTGTCCTCAACCCGACTCCAACCCAACTCAACCCATCCCTATCTGTCCTCAACCCAACTCCAGCGCAACCCAAGTGTAACCACCCCCAACCCGACGTGTCCCCCACTTCACCCTCCCCGTCCCCCCACGTCACCATCCTCCTCGGCCCGTCCGCAGGAGAAGGGCTCCACCTTCCTGCAGCTGGGCTCCTCCACGGAGCAGCAGCTCCAGGTGATCTTCGAGGTGCTGGAGGAGTACGACTGGACGGCCTTCGCGGTGCTCACCACGCTGCTGCCGGGCCACGAGGACGTCGTGGACTACGTGGAGGTGCTCACGGACGGCAGCTTCATCGGCTGGGAGCACCGCGGCGTCCTCACGCTCAACCTGTCCGACGACGACGCCGACGGTTCCCGGCTCCGGCGGCGGCTCCGCGACGTCAGCGCCCAGATCCGCCTGCTCTACTGCTCGCGCGAGGAGGCCGAGGCCATTTTCCGGGCCGCGCGCGACGCCGGCCTCACCGGTCCGGGCTACGTGTGGTTCCTGGTGGGCGCCAGCATCGGCG